GTTTTACCACTCCAGTCACTCAAGGTACGTACTGGATTGAAGGGTTGGCACACCATCTTATTTGCGTCGCGCATGCATGCATGCATCTTGTCAAGGCCAAAAGAAAAAGGATAAAGGGAATGCTAAAACATAAAGTCGACCAAGCCAGGTGCCATGATACATGTGATACTGTGAATACAGTGATACTGTGCCGTGATACTCCCGGCCCAGGGTGCATGCGCTTTGCGTGTCCACGGTCATATTCTACGGCCACGATACATGTGATACTGTAGATACGCTGTAGAAACAAGGCTGCAGCCTGGGGAGTGGCTTTGCGTGTTACGTTATATTCGAAGCCCACACGCGCGTTAGCTAGAGATGGTGCATGTGCGCTCATCTTCACTTTATTGATTCGGACATTGCATGTACTTGCATTGCACCTTATTGTGCCGATAACTATGCCGACTACTATCACTTGAAAGTGCACTCGGTAATTACCATTTGATCTGAACAGATAAAATAGTTCCGCCTCCTTAGAAATCAATTATTTCCAAGCGTTGTCGAGTGTCTTCTTAACACTCCACTTTTTATAATGGAAAAAGGTAAAAAGAAGAAAAAATGAAAATAAGCGGGAAAAGACACATACAACTGATCAAAACGGCTCTTTAAAACCGACACAAGAAATGTTCCAAAACCCAAAGAAAAATTGCCCCCGCCCTTGACTTTACTGCTCTGCAAGCACTGCAAGAAAAACCAAAGAAAAACGGCTCCTCCTTCCCTTCAATCTGCACCATAATTCCACCCGGTGCCACCTCAGCCGTACTAGCAACACTGTTACCATCACCATCTATATGCAGGCTCTTCCTCACCGTTGAGTCAACGTTCATGAGTCCTGCCTCATTCTTGTTCCGGCTAGTAACTGAGTCAGCTACCTCCGGATCAATATGCTCCTTCATAGTGCCCATCCCAGCCTGATTCATCACATCAACAGGTTTACCACGGCCCACCGATGATCCTCCCGGAGCCCTTGCGAACTGATGCTCACGTGGTCTTTTTAGCGCATCTGCATATAGCCAGGGACCAATTTTTTTGCTCTTTTCATCATGCACACCATTACCACACTCTTTAAGTTCATGACCAACCAAACCACACACACTACAGAACCTTGCTAACTTCTCATATCGCACAAAGTAGACATGGCGTTCCTTTGCACAGACAATTTTTTAAGGGGCTTCCGAACATCAAGCCGCACACGGACACGAATATAATCACTCTGTGTATTCCCATTAAACCTCATATCAAGAATCTCACTAGCATCCTACAAAAATTATCCACAATCCCTCTCTTACAATAGCCATCGGACAACTTTTGAATTTGAAGCCAGATTGGCATAAACACAATGCTCATGTCCTCGGTCTTACTGAATTCATTGTGCGGATACATAAACACTACCTAACAACCAAGGGCCTTGATCCATCATTCGCTCCTAATCGCCCAAGCAAGATGGCTACACCATGAAAAGATTTGGTCTGATAGGGCGGAAGCGTACCTGCTGCGCCGGATTCCATGCAGCACGCATGTCTCGGTAGAACGCGGCCTGACTAAAAGGTTTTTCAAATGAACCCCTAGCTGGGGCAATCCATTGCACACTCTTCTTTATCTCCGGATCATCCTCATGTATCACCAAGTCATCAAAAGCTTCATCATTCAGATCCAGCCGCTCGAAAAAAAATCACCCAAATTAGTTTTTCTCGACAGTCGTGCTACTGCTATTCTTCGATTGGGCATCTGCTACGGATGTCATCACTCTTAGGAAGCACGAGGGCAAGAGAAATACTGATCGCGGCAGTCAATCAATTTGTTGAGGTATCGTTGGGGAAAGAGAACACGCTCGTATGAGGACACACTCGATCGGGTTCATGAGTCGATCAGAAAAAAGATTCGACCACAAGAGTAAATTAGGGAAAATGACTCGATCAGGATAAGGACGTGCAGGCGACAAAATCGGAGGAAAAAAACCCTAACCGTGAGTTAGGGGAATTTATATTGTGTGTACTCTTGCATATGTGGTCACACTCTTATTTGTTTAGACTAAACTTTTTAACTTTTCAACATATGGTATTAACTAGTACAATTATACATAATAATGGTACAACTAAGTATTAAGATACAATGTGTTTATTATATATATATATATATAATATTGGGTTTGGAAATCAAATTTAACTAAATTTGAATCATATATCACATGAGCTTGACTGAGTTATTTCCTACTCGAGGCATTACTATTTTTTTTTGGTTTAACCAATTCTTTTAGATCAGAGAACCATAGAAAAGAAGAGAAAATGGCATATATCTTCAATGCTTAACTTGTGTAGATCGGAGAACAGTAGAAAAAAAAGCATATATCATCAATGATTAACTTGCGCCACTTCGATGGATTAAAAGTGTATGTTGGCATCCATGTCTATTATAGTTTCGTGAAATATTATAATAGATAGAGATATACAATTGACCGAGGATTCCAGAATGCATGCTTGTATATTTTATGTGCTAGTAAATAAAAGGGTTAGTTATGTACATACTATATAGGAAAAAAATAAATATGATTAATATCCATGACTGGTTTGTACCGGAACATCTTGTATATATTTGAGTTTGTGTGCAGTGTCAATCCTGAAAGTATTTGCCACAGTTAGCCTGAAAGTTTTTGCATGCTTACAAACGGGGCAATTCCACTAAGCTCGTGATTCTTTCTTCATCTCAACTGGAGTAAACACCATATAAACACGCAGGAGAAAGTCCACACAGATGCCTATTCGAGTCATCCCTTGCCGCCCGTGTCATCCGAACTTGGAAAACTTACTACCACACATGAATCAATCATGTCGCATGCCGTCCATCTCATTAGACAGAGCGCTCATGAATGGTCATGATCCCAAGAGAATCATGCATGGATCACAAGACGGTGGGTGGGGCTACACATCCGTCGACTGGCTTTTTCGAATTGGGTCAGTCAATTATTTTCGAACGTTCGATCGACATCCAATAGCGCCCAACCTTTCTTCTACTTCCATCTCTTCTCCTTCTTCTCCAGACCGTCGCCCACCACCCGCGGCCGGCGGCACTCCCGCGCAACCTCGCCGCCCCGCCCTCCCCGGAGCCGTCCCCCACCGCCCCAGGCCATCCTTCTGGGCCTGCTCGTGTTTAGGTTTTTCCTCCAGCGAAGTGCACCACCGCCCCACCATTGCAGTCCACCACTGCCCCCACCCTGAATCCTAAGATAGATATTGGGGTAGCCCTCCAGCGAGCCTCTTCCTTCTCCTTCCTTACCTCCGGCTCACTCCGGCCAACTCTTGAAAACCGATTGACCCTATTTCAAAATCAGTCGATTGGCATTTAGCTAAACTGCAAGATGTTCACAAGATAATCTAAAATAGATCATTGTGGTCAAGAAAGGTCGCATTCTAAGTTGACAGAGGTGAAACAGGAGTACGTACAACGGTACTGGGGGTGTCTTCATGGACCATGGACTGATGGACCCCTGTGTAATTGCATACTACACCTAGCAAATATAAGAGCATCTACAGACGCAGACAGCAAATCCAACCTCTCAAATGCCCGCGGACGCGACCAAGCGCGGACAATGGCCGGTCAAGCCTCAAATATGCTCCTCTGCATCCATACAAAGTATGCAAAACAAATCGTACATACTACATACTACGTACTACCCTAACTAAGCTTCGTTGTTGGAGATGTCCATGACGTCGGTGCCGGGCGGCGGGTAGATGGGCGCGTGGAAGGGCTCCGGCTCGTCGTACTTATCCGTAGATGCGAGCATCTCATCGAAGACCGTGGCGTGTTGGGCCTCCGCCTCCGATTCGGAATCGAGGATCGCCCGTAGATCCGCATCGCCAGCGTCCCCTACATCTTCCTTCGGCTCCTCCTCCTCAACCTCATCCTCCTCCTCCTTCTCCAAGTCCTCCTCCTCCTCCTTCTCCAAGTCCTCCTTTGGACAGCCGGGCTAGGTATTACATGGCCCGCCGGAGCGGCATCACATGACACCATTGGTCTGACGGAGGAGATGACATTTGGACTGCCGGGTTTCGGAGTGTTTTCCTGTGAGACCCCATCGTCAGTCCGACATGGCGGGCACGCCCGTGCGCCCCCATATCCGCCTCATATTTTTACTAGATATAAGGGTGCCGGTCAGCCGTGGCTCGTTTCAGGACTCGCATTTTCGTGAAGAGTCATTGACCGGCCGTCCGCTCGGGCATTTGAGACGGGTTTAAGGTGCCGGGCTGTAGATGCACTAATGACTCTTTTTCCAGTGGACCAGGCCCTGTGAGCATACACCAAAGAGCTAGCTCTAACCAAAAGTAGTTTGGTCTGAGGAGTATGGTAGTACGTGAGACCGATGTTGAGTACGATGATACTCGATCGAGCTCCAGACGCCGTCCGCTGCAGTGTCGCATTCACCAGACTGATCGACGTACGTTCACTGGAGATGACCAGAGCACGGGCCTTCTCTATTCTCTCATCTCTCTCCAGACATGCATGCATCAATACTAGCACTAGTTATGCCATGGACGCCCCCACGCATGCAGCACGTACAGAGATTGATAATTGCTACTGATATGATGCTAAAGCTAAATGCCAAGGGACAAAGGTGAGGAAGGAGACAGGTTGCAGCTAGTTGCGGTGCTGCACCGGATGGATCACTAAGAGCATCTCCAGCCGTGCCCCAGCAGGCCCTCTTCAAGCGTTTTTCCCGCGCCGGCACCGAAAAATCGGCCAGTCGCAATCTCAGAAGCCCGTTTTTCATCGGGTTGGGCCGAAACTGGCGCCGGCGGATCCAGACCGAACCCAACGCGCCGGGGAGCGCCCAGGGGCGCCAGGGCGAGTGGTTTTGGCGCGAAAGCGGATGAGCCCGTCGAGTCAGCGAGTCACCGCTTCGTCGCTCTCATCGCCTCGGTTCCCGCGGGAATCAATGTGAAGGCTGCCGCGCCGCCGCGCCGGTCAGCCTCCATTGATGCTTCTCACGGGCTGCGCAGTGAACGTGCCGCGACGCGCGTCCAACCACGTGTCGCCCGGCATGCAGCCCGTCACCGCCCCGCGACGGCTATAAAAGGCGACCTCCCCGCCGGTGGACGCCACAGATCTCATTCTCCTCCCCCCCTCCCCTCTCTGGCGTAGATAGCAACACGCCTCTCTTCCCAGGCAACGGCGCGGCGGCAAACGGCTTCGGCCGCCGCCACCTCCAAGAGCAGGAGGTGCGCCTGCTCTACGAGGCCGAGTACCCGCGCCCTCGGACATGCGGGTGGCGGGGACGTGGCGGCTGAGCGCTGGCGGCGTACCGGTGCCACCGGTTCCCGAAGGAGCGGCGTGCCGAGATCGCCCGCATCCGCTCTTCCCTAACGCAGGCGCAGAGGGATGAGCCGTGCTACGCCGCCGACAGCCACACCCTCTGGACCATGTACTTCCAGCGCCGCCGCGAGGAGCAGATCGCCGCCACCAACGGTGTCATCCCCCACGGCCGCATCAACGCAGACGGTCGGCGCGAGTGGTGAGGCGTGACAGGCCGCACCCTCGAGGCCGTCTTCGACCACATCGAGACTGGCAACGTGCCGCGCCTCGAGTACCCGCAGCGGCCGACCTTCTCTCGCCGCCATGGTAGCTCTTGGACACCGCGGCGGATGGAGCCAGGGTCGTCCTCGTCGTCGGGGTCTGGCTCACTGGCCGCGCCGCTCCGCCCCGTCAAGCCCGAGCCAAAGGAGACGCCGCTCGGGCGCCGCACCCGCAGCGGTGCCCTCGTCATCAACGAGGGTGCCCGGCCCTTCCCGCCTGGTCCGACTCCGGGGAGGCGCTCCCTCCGCCTGGTCTGGCCGAAGCCCGAGCCGGGGCTGCTCCCGGTGAAGCCGGAGCACGTCGAGATGGCTGCCCCCGACGACGAGTCCGCTCCCAAATGGGCAAAGGAGGA